GGTGCAAACTGATGAAGGAATCTGTGAATGAAAGCTCAGATATGCTGTAGATAGCACTTGTTAAGCCTGCTCTTCCCCCTGCTATAAAATTGGGAATTGCTGGTTCAGCAGCTCGTGCCCAGCCCTCTTGTCACTATAGAATGAAGGCCTCCCCAGCTGTCACCCTTGCTGGGCCTAGCAAGAACTGGGAGGCCTCAGCCCCTTTCACCTGCCCAAGAGAGCTTTCCCTCCTCTGGCTCCTGCAGTTCAACCATCCAATCTGCACAATTAGCACCTGATTACATCCAGTCCAGGTTTGTACAGTATAAGCTAGTACTTTATCAGGCCAATGTAAGTGCAGTTATGTATAACATTATCTCACTTCCTGCCTGGCATGTCTGGTCTCTCCCAGATCAGTTGGGTAGGAAATTGCCCGAGTTCTTTATGGCACGCAGCATGGCATCTCATGGGAATTCTGTAAACTCTATTTGCTTTGCCGACTGACCACCTGGAAGTATAATCCCCACATACTCATGACTCTTCAATCTGCACATTCTTTGTTTTGATCATAGTTTAATTTATCAAGACAAGCAATGGACAAATAGAAAGAAGTAGGTATCACTTTCATGGTTCCCTTCAAACTTTCTGAAAAGTTGAAGTTCCCACTGGGGCTAGCAGCACAGCACTCTGGCCACTTGCTGGACCGCAAGGCAGCCTGGCTGTCCCTGTGCTGGGAGCCTTTCCTGTCCTTGTAAGGGGCTGAAGCGGGGCTGCAGGGACAGAGGGTGATGTTGCCCACCGAGGGCTACAATAGGGCAGGCTTTGGCCTTGGTGCAGCTTCACTGACCTTGGGGAAGACCAAGGGAGGCAGTTTCCTTCCCTCTCAGGCTGCAGGTTTTTAATGTCTTCTTTGTTGCTCTGGGCCCCTGGGGACTGAACTGAAGGGAGAGACTTTAGGCTGCTCCCTCCTCCCGGACAAAATGGTGCATGCTTTTCCTGTTTAAACAGGGCACAGTTGTGAAGTGCCCTGACTTCGCACACACCGAGGCCCGGCAACGGCTGCAATAAATCAATAGGAAAATAGAAGCTGCCAGTTAGACTAAACAAGTGCATTTGCAAAGACGGCTAGCCCTCATTAATCACTCTGACAGTCCTAAAAACACATTTCCCCTTTAATGACTGTATTTGGATAATCAGTGCTTTTTCCTCTGCAGTCAGAGTTTGAGTAACAGACAGCTGGTGTTATTACAGCCATCGGGAGGGAGTGCTGGGATTAGGGCAGCAGAGGGCTTTCCAGTGGAGGTCCCCATGAGTGCGTGCAGGCTAGGCTGGCCACAAAGCTGTTGCTAGGCCTTAGTGAGGGGAGCTTTGTACTCCTCAGGCACTCCATGTGCCCCTGCTCTAGCCTTACATCCTCCAACGATGTGTGAATAAGAACCCTCACACGGGTTTGGTCAGCTTTGGCAGATTTAACCCAGGATGGTGAGGCCAGAGTTTCTCTGGCAAGGAGGTAGGGAGATGAGTTGATGTGATCTGGCTTTGTTTCTTTTAGGTGTCTTTGGTTTTCAGGAGAAAGTTTGAAACCCAGCACATTCCTCTTTATAAATGATGTAACACATTAATGCACAGCACATTATGAAAATGGTAATTCAAACCCATAGTGCTCCAAATTAAACCATACATTATCGGATGCACTGAGCCATCTATTTTGCAAAAAGACAGGATGAATGAAATCAAATCAAACAGAAAACTGGAGTGTAGCCTCCCCTACAGAATGATTAATAAAGTGCAGAGCTGCAGGATTATTGTAAGACGAATTCCACGGTAACACAGACATACATCAGGAGGAACTTAGTTCATACATTTGAGAGACACCATTGAAGCATGCAGGGTAGGGCAAGGCCATTTTGGCCACATAAAGGTGGCAGAGGGCCTGCAGCTCTCTCCTCGGCTATGGATTTCTTAGGAGCTGAGCCTGTGGGTGTGGGGAGGTAACAGGGCAATCCCATGCAATTCAGTTTAAAACAAACCTGCATCTAGGGGTCAGTCCCTTCATTTTCTTCTGCTCTCTGCTGCCCACAGGGCCACAAAAATAACTCCATAGGGGTGTGAAAATAGGCCCAGGAACCAGGAACATATGGGGTCTCAATTCCCAGCGATAAAGCTTGTGCCCTGATGCCTTGGGAACATGGCCCTGTTTCTGGCAGCTGGGAGAGATGAGAAAGAAGAGGAAGAAGAGAGGAGGAGGGGGGCACAAGGTAGAAGCCATTCTCAAAGAGTTAATTATGCAAATCAGCAGTTGGAGGAGTAACCTCTTGATTAAAATGGCAACTTTGGTTAATGGGAATTAACCTATTGAAAGTAACAAACTCCCCACTAGCTAATTAAAACAGCCACGTTTCTTCTTCGGAGGGTTTCCAACTATGGAAGGATAGAGTGCTGTGTTCTGGGTAAGAAGGAGGACACCCAAGACCTGACTCCTTTCCTTCCGGACTCCCTGTGGTATGGGGGGCAGTGTTACCCAGCCAGGCCCAGCCTCCACAGGCGCTCAGTAGATTCAGTGCAGGAGGCGTAAGGTTCCCAGTTTTCAAACCTGCTCTCCTAGTGCTAAAGTGCAAGCCCGGCAGCATGAGAAGAGTTCCTTTTGGTAAGAGAACTTGTGCAGATGCCTTTTCCTGTCCGCCTTCCCAAGAGAGGAAAGAAGCAAAAAATGCCCGAGGAGGGTGGGAGAGGAGAAGGGAAAGAAACACCAAACGCACAGAGTAAAAGAAAAAAGGGCATGTTTATGTATTTGGACGTTACAAATCTTTGGAGGCTGAGCAGATAGGGCTGATTCTCCAGGATTCTTCCACTGGTCTCAGAACGACTTTTCCACCCTTTCAGCTGTCCCCAGACTCAGGCCGGCCGGGTTCCTCTTAGTACCAGGATTTGCGCGGGGGCCTTAGTCGCCCAGCACCGACTCTGCAAAGAGAATCCTGTTGCTCTCCTGACCAAGGAAACAAATACAAAAATCTGGAACACACATTCCAAGCTGTGGTTATGTAGAGTCCTGAGCCGAGGACCCAGCGGCCCCGCGTGTTACAGCCACACCTTTCGATTCTGTGGAGTTTATGCCAGCGACAGACCTTGTAGAGCGTGGGATGCGCTGCGCAAACTCGGCACTCACCAGGCCCGCGGGGAGCGGCGCGGCCGGGAGGGGGCGTAGAGGCTTCGTGGCTGCAGCCCAGCTGGGTCAGTCTGCTCCATCGCACCGACCCTCCGTGCCCCGGGATGCTGAAACTGCTGTCAGCCGGTAACCTCAAGAAAGAGGATCCTAGCTCAAGGTCCGAGACGTTTTCAGAGTCGCAGATAACCGGGTAAAGGGAAACCCTCAGGCCTTGCGAAACTAGCAAACTAGCATCTCAGCAAGTGTATTTGGTAACTGAAGACACGATCCCCCTCCTGGAAAGAAAAGCCATCGTCGGAATTTAGGGACCGGAAGCTCGAGAGGTCTGGTTTAAGCGGGAGTCAGCCGCTTCTCTCCGCCTGTCTCTCGTATTCTAGCCACCAGATGGCGCCAGAGGCACGCAGTCCCTGCACACCTATCAGCCGAGCTCCGGCCGAGGGCGCGGCAGGTTTCTGCTTGAACCCTCGGTTCTGGTTCCTTTGGAGCCCCTTGTACCTCCAGTCTGGACTGAAGGAGATCCAGTTTTACGCGCCCTCCACCCTGGCCCTGAAGTGTCAAGGCCTTCAAAGCATCGTTGGGAGCTGGAGCCCCAACTGGGGGAAAATAAAGGTGGTTTTAATGTTATTTGTAATGCTTTGTAAGAAGTTTATTTCCCTCCTGACTTCCCCTCTTTTTGAGGAAAGGTCTAAGCTCTGAATAGCAATCTCAGAAGCCCTAAGGCATTTTAAACAAAACTAAAGAGCTTCTGTTTTAGGTCAGTGATAAGAGGGCGGTGAGTGAGGCAAGAGAGAAACACACCACGGTGTGAATATAGCCAAGTATTCCATTTATTAACAAAATAAGTCTTACCAAGGGAGAGCTCTATTCATCCCAAACAGGCCCGAAGTCCGGCCGCTGCAGCACAGACCGGGGGGTGGGGATGGGGGGGTGGGAGGAGACCCAGGGTCTGGGTCTTCAGCCCGCCCACTTTGGGGATTTTGCTGGGTCACACCTGGAAGGGGTATGGGTTGCTTCGGGCCAAGTGCTTCCTGAGTCCCTGACCTTCGCCCCGGGGAGCAGGTGACTTGGCGACAGAGGTCTGCTTGGGAGGGATCCAGGGAGGATCCCACCGAACGCCCAAGGAGGAGGGGGTCACAGCCCCAAGAAAGAGCAGAAAAAACAATGCGATAAAGCACTTCGCAAAACAGAATGAGCAAGTTGCAGGCCGGTGGGCCTTCCAGCACTCTGAATGATCAGGAGCCCCGCATGCCACCCACAGTGGGCAGCGACTATCCGGTGTGTGGACAGAGCCTCAGCACAGGCTGCTGGACCTGTGGTTAGGGATCTCAGAGCAAGTAGGGGGGCTGTGATAGAGGGGCCCCGGCCGACCAAGGCCTAGGAGAGGGGTCTGCTCAGGAGGGTCAACAGAGCTCAGGACCTCCAGCTGCCAGGTTCATTCCCCCAATCCCCAAATTGTTATCCACAATCCCTCTCTGCTACTTGTACAACAACAACAACAAGAACAACAACAACAACAACAAAAAAAAACAACCCAAAAAAACCCAGAACTTTAAATGGAAGTCAACAGGAGGGAATGAAGGGGAAAGAGGCAAAAGGAGAAAATGTGTTTGAATGGTTAAGATTCATGCAAGAAATCCCCCAGGGCGGGAAAACAAAATATATGGAAGAACCTAAGAACCCTAATGCTCCCTCTTCTCCCCAAAATCAAACAATAAAAAGGGAAGAAAAGTTTAAAAGTTATACCTAAGGAAAAAAAAAAAAAAAAAAAAAGAAAAGGGGGGCAGAGTAGTTACCTGTGTGGTTAATATTATTATTCAGGGGAACATAGACTTTTTGCATACCATTGACTCGTGTGGGCTGTTAATGCACTTATATTCCCAGCTTGTAAGCTATCATAGTAAATAAATACACAGTCCGGATGGGGGGGGCGGGGTCGCGCAGGGGGAAGCAGTGGTGGAGGCTGCAGCAGCACGCAGGGACGGAGGGAGAGGACGGAGGGCTGGGAGGTCCAGAGCTGAGGTCACTGGTACCCGAGCGCCGAGGCTGACGCTAGTCTCTGTCCGTACAGCGCATATGGAGAGTAGTAGGGTCCGGCTGTGGGGAGGGACGGCACAGCCAGGCCCCCGGCTGTGGATAAATGGCTCTTGCCATAGGGGTGGTACCGGCTTAGCCCCAAAGTGTGTGGACTCCTCAAGGACAGCGCCCCTGGACTGCCAGGGGCGGCGGGCGGGGGGAGGTGCAGATGGCAGGCTGCGGTGCTGCCCAGGCCGGAGGCCCCAGGGTAGGCGGCCAGAAGTTTCTCCGCGCCAGGTAGGGCAGTGTGAGTCCGCAGGTGGCTGAGCAGCTCCTCCGAGGTGGCGAAGCGCTTGTCACAGGGCCCGCTGGCGGCCACCCAGTTGCAGCTGTGCGGCAGTGGTTCGTTCTGCAGCATGAAGCCGTAGGTGTAGAGCGGGTGGCCAGGGAGGGCAGCCTGGGCAGCGCTGGAGGACAGCGCGGCAGGCTGCAGCGGGTGCCCGGGGTACACCAGCGGGTAGCCCCCGGCCTTCAGGCTGGGCCCTGCCGGGTCGTGCGAGCTGCAAGTGGTGCAGCTGGAGCCTCCAAGGTGCGAGGCGCTGTGATAACCTCCCAGGCAGTAGGGGTCGCGGCATAATCCCTGCAGGAAGGAGGGCGGGGAGGCCCCAGTAAGTGGGCTGGAGCTGGGGGGTTTGCCGGGGGGCAGACCCAGGCCCCCAGACAGCTGGCCTCCCACGAGGCCGGACTTGCTGGGGTCCAGGCCAGGCACGAACTGAGACGGGTAGCCAGTGTAGGCGCCCACGATGGAGCCGTGGTAGCCGATGCTGGAGGGCGGCAGCGGGAACACGGAATGGCCAGGCTTGTAGGGAGACACTGGCGCCACGTGGCCGGCCCCCACCAGCGCTGAGGGTGGCTCGGACTTGCGGCCGGAAGCCCCAGCCTCGGCACCACCGTGTGCACTGGGTTCCGCGCCACTTCCGCGGCTCACAGATCCTGGCTCTGGGCTGGGCTTCGGCTCTGGGTCTTTCTTGTCCGGCTCTGCGCCAACGGAGCCGCTGTTCTTGCAGTCAGGGTGGTGCGGGGAACCGCCGCGGGACCCGCCCGGCGAGGACGAGGATGATGATGCAGACGCCGGCGCTCCATGAGGGGGAAAGGGTTGGCAGGCGGCGCTGGGGACCCTGAAGCCTGCCTTGTCTCCCGGGGATGAGGACGAGGAGGAGGTGGAGGACACCGAGGAGGAGCCGTTGTCTTTGCGAGCGTCGCCGCCCGCAGCACCCTTGGAATAGGGCTTGAAGCTGGACTTGTCCTCCGCTGGGGAGTCCCCCAGCTGCTTGAGGGCTGCGGACGCTGAGGCGGCTCCCGGGGTGGGGCGGCCGGGGTCCTTCTCTGCTCCCAGCCCGTTGGCCGCCGCCGCCACTGAGTTGAGCTTGGACGAGGGCGGCGGGTCGGGCTTGCCGATCTGCGAGCAGGTCTGGGCCAGCAGCGCCAACGGGCTCTTCTTGGCGTCCAGCTGAGGGGGACAGCGGTAGGGAAGGGAGAGGGGGTGAGACCAGGAGACCACCGAGCTAGGAGGGCCTCGGGAAGCGCGGTTGGGAGGAGCTGAGAGCGCACAGTGGGCCAGTACTGGAGCGCCCAGACCCGGCCAGGGAAGGGGTAGCATGAGGGACTCCTCCAGGGCCTCGGCAGGGAAAGGTGTTTTCTCTGGTATCGGGTTTGCAGCGCCCCTTCCCCTTTAGTCTCCCCGCCCTCTAGGCCTAGGGCAAAACTTCTGCCTTGAGTTTGCGGGAACTTCGCTTGGGACGGGATTTGGACAACCGCGAAGAGGGGTGGGGGCGGGCGGGGGCTCCTGGTGAAGGCCGGGCTGCTCTTGGCGCTGGGAGCCCCTCCCGCTGTCCTTTCTTTCTTCCCCTAGGGTACAGAACCCAGAGAAGTGATAGGTAGAAAAACCCGGGGTTGGGAGTGTCTGGGCACAGGACAGAGAGCCCTAACCGATGGCAAAGGGGCGGCGCGGGACCCAGTTTTAGTGTCTGTGCTGCCGAAGCGAGCAAAGTGGCGTGGGACCCGGGCGGCTGGGGGTGGGGAGGATCAGGGGAGATCGCCTCTGACTAAGAGAACGGGGTGTCAAAGGAAAAGTGAGGGACCCACTGGGGACTCCGCGAACAAATTCCACCCGAGAGCAAACATCTAGCTCGGGAGGGCGAGCTTAGGAGACCTTTCCAGGAGAAGCCTGGGGAAGTCCCGGGGGCTCGGACCCCGCTGTGCTCCGTTCGTCTGCAGCCCGCCTGCTGGCGTGGCTGGGTTAGGGCATCGCGCAGCGCCCCGGGGCGCAGGGCCAAGCCGCGGTGCGAGTCCTTAGTGGGGCCGGCGCGGGCGGGAGCGCCCGGGAGACTGACCTCAATGGGGCTGACAGGAGTGGAGGACAGCGGCTGCAGGTACTCCGGGTGCAGGAGGTGGCCGGTGTGAGCGCTCAGCATCTTCAGGACCCTGATGGGGAGTCGGTTCGCCTGGCGCAGGGGGTCCGCCGGGGGCAAGAGGGACACCGCTGCCGGCACCGCCGGCCTCTTCCCGCCGCCGCTGCTCTCGGGTGTCCTTGGGTTAGATCCAGCGGGCGAATCGCTCATTTGGAGGAGGCAGCGCCGCGGGGGGGGCGGGGAGGGAGCGGGAGCACCGGGGAGGCGAGCTACCGGGGCGGGTGGGCCCGCTCCGCAGCGTCGAGCGCCGGGCGGCGGTCGTTCTTTGCCTCGTCCCCTCCTCCACCGACGCCGCTGCCGCCGCCAGCCCCGGCGAGCCACACAAAAACCTTCGCCTTCCGCAAGCCGCACGTCAAATAGCCGCGATCGGCAGCCACACTTCAAAGGGATCGCCGCGCCCGCCCAATCGCAGCTCGCGCCGGGACCCGGGGCGGGGAGAGCGGCGGGCGGAGGCCGGCGCCGCCGGTGGGCGGGGAGAATCTTAAAGGGGCCTCGCCGGCGCGTGGCCGCGCCCAGCACCTCCGGCGCTGGCGGCGCTCCTGCTTGCCGCCCCCTCCGAGGGGCTGCCCTAGCCGCCGGGTCCCACGAGGACCAGGACTTCTTCGAGACCCCGGGTTTCGCGCCTCTCCTCCGCTAGCTTTCCGGTCTCGGCGTCCTGTCAGCCTTCCCACCGCTGGGTGGTGGTGGTGCTGGCGGCGCTGTCAACTGCGAGTCCGGCGGCGCAGGGCGGGGCGGGAGCGGCGGCGCCTGCTAGGGACCGAGGAGTCTGGGCCGTAGCCGGAGGCCGCCTGGGGGCGGGCCTCGCCTCGCTCTCACCGGTCCTTCGGCTGCGCGGCACCGGCCACTGTGCTCCCCAGTGGGTTTCTCCAGGCATGCTCCCTGGAGAGCTCCTCGCTTTGTAGACACCCCTGTTCCCGGGGCGCGTCTGAAGTCGCTCCGGGTACTTTGAGCCCGATCCGAAGGCTGCGAGTTCGAGGACTCCTTCTCAGGGTGAGGGGGTCGCGAAGAATCACTGGTTCCGGAGTAAAGCTCCCCTCTCGGGCTTGGCCAGAGCCCTGTGCAGCCCTCACTCAGTGTAGGCTTGGTGCTGGGGTGCGCTTCAAGTACCTAATATGTGCTCTTCTTAAGGGCAACTCTGTGCCATGCCTCGGATGCTCTTTGGAGGGTCCTGGGTCACAGGAGAGGCTGGTATCCTATAGGCAGGTAGGGAGTTTTAAGTACTGCATGACCACACAGACTCAGAAGACAGGCACTCTCATCCTTCTCCCAAACACTAATTTTTTCCCAGGGAAACTTCTAGATTAAAATAATGCCCTCCCAGTGTCCGAGCCTGTAGGATAAAGTGTACTTTGCTAGCTTTCCACTTGGCAGAGATCTTAACCTGGTCCACTTCCTGACTCTAAAGTTCCCTGTCCACCACGCCACAGAAGGTCAGGCTGGTCTTTTGTGCGCCAGCCTCCGGAGTGACCACTTCCCCGTGCTGTCCTCAGCCAGTGGAGGCGCACTAGGGTCACTGTCTTCTTTGGAGACCCACTTTTCCAAGCGCATCTGTCACTTAGATGGTCAGGCCTGGCCCTCCAGGCCTATTGCTGACGCACTGCCAGTAACTTGAGACAACAGAAGCCAATACCTGGTAGGAGATTTCGAAGGGGTTTATAATCACCAGAGTGATAATAGCTGTGTCCTCCGCCAGTGCCCAGTAGAGAAGACAGCAGGCAGCACTGCCAGGCTGCAACTAAACTATGCATACTCCCTAGCTCTGTGCTATTTTGTAAGTTTCTGTAGCTCTATCAGAAATTGCAGGCCTTTCTTCCCTCAATTTCAGTCTAGGTAAAATCAGGTTCGGACAAATGGCCAGGGGCTCCTTGTGTCTTCTGTCTTTGGCACTGCTTCTGTTGACCTCTGCATTTTGACCTTGCAGTTCACATCACTGTGGAAAGTTCACTGCGGGGCTGCTTCAGTCTTTGGGGTCCTGCCCTAGAGAGATGGCAGAAGGTCTGTGCAGAGAGAGGGGCTGGTCTTTGTAGCCACCTAGAGGAGGAAGAGTGGGAGAGGAGAGGTTAGGAGACAGTAAAAGATGAAAGACTCCATGGTTATTGTAACCAGCCTGGCTGTGAGAGTGAGCCAAGAAATCCTTCCAGGACCCAAGCAGATGTGTGTTAGAAATGATTAATGGAAATAAGTTGGGAGGGGAAGGAGAGGCGGAGAGTGAGTAAAGGCATTTAGGAGTGTGGAAGGAAAACGGGGTCAGGAGGCATCAGCAAAAGCGAGCAGAAAGGAGTACACTATTTACTTTCTATTTGGAAAGGAAAAGAAGAGAAAAATAGTGAATGAAAGGAAGGAAGGGAGAAGAGGAGGTGAGAACAGGATGGCCAGGTGGGGAATTTGCCTAAGGATTCTTACTTTGTCACTCCTGGTGCTCCCAGCAGTAATCACTGATAGGGATGGTGGTGCCAGACAGCAGTGCCACAGAGGCCAGGCCTGCCTCCTTTTCCTGGTGATTAGTTGGTTTCAATGGCCCAGGGTTGGTTTATACTTTGGGGTGTGGATAAGGGCAGCAGGGTCTTTTGAGCTGAGTGCATCCAGTTGCCTTAGGAGAAAAAGGCCAAAGATCTAATTAAAATACTACTGGGTGATTATTGCCATTAGTATTTGACATTCACCTAGCTAACCTACACAGAACCTGAAATGGGACCCTAGTGGTCTGAAAGGAAGTACAGTTTTCACAGTAATGGCTTTTCCTCTGGGAGTGAATGTGACCCAGTGTTGTACTGACTGGACCACAAGTAGTGTGGAACCACTGAGTACATAGCCTTGGGTTAGGATGTGTTTGAAAAGTCCCTATGTGATTGGAGGGCACTGGGCATTATGGGACCAGTCCTTTCCTTGCCAAAAAATGACTGATGTATGATTCAGGGGTCTTGTTGTAGGAAAATCCTTCTCGGATTGCCCTGGAAATGAGTATCCACATTAAAATAAGACAGATCCAGGTCTGCTTGAGGTGCTAGTGTGGCACCCCAGGGAAGAATAACAAGTCTACATGTCTGGTCTTGGTAAATGCCCCAGCTACTGCTAACGAGTACTAGAAGGTGGCTCATTTCAAGTCTGAGGCCAGGGACAAGTGGAGTGGTGCTTAGTTCTGACTCTAGGAGCCAGGCCTCTGAGCCATGCTGCTGTGGTATCCCTGGGCAAATGAACCTCACTAGTCTTCTGTGTTCTTCAGGTATTAGCTGTGAAAGGGGCCACCTCTGTGTCAGGAGGACAGCCGACAGTTTGTGCTGCGTTGAGTATGTGGTACAGAGGAAGCCCCAGGTACCAACTGCTGTGTTTCCTTGCAGTGTTTACATCTGTGGGACTATGACTTGGGGACAGACACATTAGCTGGGAGCCTTGATAATCTCAGTCCTGGAAATTGGCAGTGGGATCCCAGGCTGTCTGGTAAATGGACTGAGAGTGACTCCTCCCCTAGCCACCAGTTCTTTTTTGAGCGCCTCTCCTAAGCTAACAAGAAAAGCCTTTAGGAAATTGTGTATTTGTAGATTCTCCCTTTCCCCACTTCAGTTTCTATAAAATTCCCCACCCAGGAAAAACTGCCTGAATCAGGCTGAGCGCAAGAGGTGGTAGATTTGCTGCGTGGGGGTTAATGTGTAGTTTTCACTCCTGGCTGAGGCAGAATTGCCTGAATGATCGCCTCTCTACATAACACTCCAACCCTAATTGCAACAACATGAAATAATATCTCACTGGTAACTATTTACATGTTTATTTTTTTACAAGCCGTAAGAACTCTGAAAAGTTTGTCTCCTAGAGAACTTGGTTTTCCTCCTCAGTGCTCAGTGTCTTCCAGTAGCTGGCAGTTACTGCCTTGGCCAGGAGCCCTGCTGTAGCGCACTGTGCTCAGGACTCAGAGGTACTTCTGGGTGCCGCATCCCTGGCCCCAGGCTTCAGACTCAGCCTGGCGCATGAGAGGGTGCGAGCAGGGAAGCAAACGGTGAAGCCAAGCCTGCCAGCCTTGCAAGAAGCCTGCTTTGCCAGTCACAGAGCCTTACTGTGTATTCCTGGAGTTCTGCTTGCACGCTAATCTTACACTACCCAGGGTGTCTGCTGGCATTTGTTCACTTATCTCTTCTCCCCCTGGACTATAAATGTTTCTATATTTTCCTTATCCTTTTTGTGTTCTTGCAGAGTATATAACCATCCTCACCTGGAGTAGCAGTCATGATGGAAATAATTTGTGTGTGTTATCTAATTCCAGGGCTACAGAAACCCTAAGAGGCAGGTGCTGCTGCTCTGTTTCTCAGAGGAAAAAAGGGGAGCACCAAGAGGTGAAATTATGGGTTCATGGTCCAAGCTGGTGCAGTTATAGGTAGGGCAGGCCAACGCAAGAAACACGCAGCAATCCTTGTTCATGAATGGACAGGAACTTACCCAGGTAGAGCTGTTTATTTATATCTCACCTTGTTTTATACACCCCAAATTTAAGGTGAATGGTTGTGTTTTCAAAATGTTGACTGTATAACCATGTGGAAGTATCTGTTTCCCAAATGCACTTTTTTGGCCTGCATTTCAGAATAATTTTTGGAGTTCTTATCCCTGTTTGAAGAAACAGACACTGAGAGTCTAAGAGAGAGCTGAAAGTCACACCGCAAACAGGGGCAGAATGGGGTGTGGAGTGAAGTCCTCTTAACTCCCTCCTTGGCTGTTGGCTGGTTAATTTCTAACATTACCTCCTGCATGTGGCTTCTGATAAAAGGTGGAAAGAACTCCTTTTCCTCCCCCAGGAATTTCCTCTAGAGATGTGGTGGGAAGAGGGACAAAAGGAAGTGTAGATGAAGCTTATCTTCAAGCCTGTCCTTTTGATTTGGATCCCTGAGCAGCTGCTTTGAAGAGCTGATTTCATTTATGTCTTATCAACTCCTGGGGAGACAGGCAGGTCTGGGCAGGGGAGGGGGCGTAGGTGTGTTTTGAAGTTCTCCCTCCTGTGCCGGCCTAGCCCTGAGACATCAACCCCCTTCTTAGGCATTCACCCTTGACTCCCCTGTCTCTTCCAGCCGGTCAGGTTTGGCTTTTAAACTGCATCTATTGCTGGGAGGTCTCTCACCTTGTTATCAGCTGACACCTCAACCCTTGAATGTCTCACCCAGGACAATAACAACACTTCTAAACACTTGCTGTGTGCTAGGCATGTTCTGAACGTCATGTGGTAACTGATTTACTTTTCATGGCAAAGAAGTTGGGGTGGGGGTTGGGTAGGGGTTGCTACAGTAATGCCTGTTTTATAAGAAAGCTACTCAGGCTCGAAGAGGGTAGGCATCTGGCCCAGTTACACAGCCAGAAAGTGGAAGAGGTGACTGAAGTCCAGGTGGATGGCTCCTGCACTGCTCAGCAGGCCTAAAGGAGAGGGAATCT